CCATGGGTTTTCCCAGGTAGGTGGAACAGGATGTGTAAAGGCATGTGATTCCAGCATCCCTGTGAAGCTGCTTTGTGAAACTGCTGTGTTTCATCCATTTTTCTTTCATTTTACATCACAAGTCAAGTCGGGACTTGAGGCACAGCTGAAGGCAAATGGGATGGGGGCAGGAGGCTCAGACTGGCAGAGGAGGGCACCTACCAAAAAGCTCACACTCCTTTCAGCAAGGCAGCAGAGAGTGAGGAAAGGCTGGAGCATAGCAGGAGGTGCAGATAATAACAGTAAATGCTGCATTTAATCACATTGTGCAGTGGGGTGGAAATGAAGTCTTACTCTGAGGTTACAAGTGAAATACAAAAGAGAAGTGAAAGGAAAGAAAGCACTGGGGGAAAAGAGCAAAGAGGTCAAGACCCAGGGGGAGCAGGGCAAAGGAAACAATTCAGGAGTTAAGTTGTAAAAGCAGCAGCAGAGGAGGCTTAGATGGCTGGAAGCCATCACCAGGACCATCCCACTATCACCAAAGGAGTTTTCCCCCGTGGGGTGGAAGCTGCCCCACAGCTGCAGTGCAAGAATAGGAGCAGGGGTGTGCTCTGCAGTGTTTGGGTCACACAACTCTGTTGGGGGAAGCAAGGTGTGGCAGCAGCCCTGGCATAAATCTTGTCTCCAGCCTCTGGAAATGGTTGCTACTGGTGAGAAGAAATTAGATTTTCAGCCTCCTTATGGTTCATGTGTTAATCTGATGTTGAGATATCACTCTGAATATTTCACCACAGTGTGATTTAACTATAGAAAAGATGCCTGGATATCCCAAGGTGTGTTGGTAATAATGAACACCAGCAGCTGGGTAATGGCTGATCTCTGATTCAAGCCACTGGCAAAAATTCATTCTTTCTATTTTTTGATAGCTGCTGGTTTTGATAATACTATATTTTATAATTGCTGAAGCAGCTGAGTTTGGTTATGTTGCTGCAGTTTTGTGTAATTACTCTCCATCACTATAATTTTTCTTTTAGTTAAATGCATTGGAGGTTATAAACTCTTAACTATCAACTGTAAATATTCATGGGGAGTGAGAATAGTTCTAACTACCATAAAAGCTTTTTCCCAATAATTTTGGCTAGTGACTGTATTTACACAGGTTGCTTTGCTGATGATGTTATGGCATAAGTAGAAAAAATAATATACATATCACTTCAAGCAACAGCCAGTCATAGACCCAGGTCCCCTGTAGTCTGCTCTGCTGAGAATTCTGGGCTCCTCCACAAAGGGCAAGAAGGAGAGGTCCCCCAATGTGAATGTGCTATAAAACAATATTGTGTTTCCCTTAAGAATTGCAGTGATAAAAACATAGCCCATTCTGCAGCACTAGCAACTTTAATAAAATAACATAAAGCACAGCTGTCAGGTCTGCCAGCATCTCACACTGGGAGACATGAGTGAGAAAATGAACACTTTTCGCAAGCAGAAATATTCAAAGAGCTCCACTGTTTACATGTAATCAAGAATGACAGTCATAGATTATCGGTGGAAGAGCATTTTCTGCTTGAGGTGAAAGAAGAGGATAATTTATCAGGAAACCCAAGAAGTCAGACATCAGTAATGATCTGCTTGAAGAAGGGCATATCTTAGAAATAGTGCATTTATTTGTACTGCAAGGCAAGAAGATGTTTGGAGTTACAAACACGAGCCTTGGTGCTTGAGGAATGTTGAGCAGATCCAGTGTGTAATTTGCTGGGCAGCTGTGATTAGAGACCTGACTAATGTGTGTCCCAGTGCTGGTTCAGAATATTAAAAGAAAAATTTAGCATAATACAGATTGTCTAAAAGAGCTGCTTATGCTCTCTCATCCTGTTCCCTCCTTTGGGAGTTATCCAGGCTCTGCTGAGGGCATTGCTCACCTTCTTGTTGATGCTCAGAGATGCTTCTGTAGAGTCCCTACAAACAGGTTTGGTTTCAGAGAATTTGGGGCTTTTGGAGTTTTGCAGTAAAATATTCGGTCCACCTGGTGCAATGCTTTTGCATCACTTTTCTCTTATGAAAACAGGCCAAATATCAGCTGCTTTGAAATGGTAACTAATTTGGAGCCCTACAGAAAAGGTTTTATAGGCTCACCTTGCCTTGGTGTGCTCTGAGTTTGCAGAAGTAGAATTGTTGTACAGAAAGTATCACAAAATTCAACTAGTCTGTGTTTGGATATATCTGAATAAGGATGTCAGTCTAACTTACCCAGCTTTTACTCTGACAGGGGTAGGGAAGATGGATAAATCACTATTTTTAATGAATTGATATCTGGCAAATAGAGGTACTTTTTTGCCATTTAGGTTGAGCAGAACCTTGGAGTGTTCTCGAGGTGCAAGAGAATCTTGCTTCCTCAGCTTAATCCAAACTTTCAATACAAGTCAGATGTTTGCAAAGATTCACAGCTGGGACTTGGATGTGTGTGTCAACATGAGCACACTCTGAGGCACAGAAGTCCCCAAGAAACAAGTATCAACTGCAATGTTTGTTCCCCACCTGAATTCTAAATCACTACAATTTATAACTGCAATATCTATGTTCTCCTCTCCTGAATGCAGCTTTACAACTTTTCAGCCACGTTCAGTTCTCCTCATGAGGGCCTCTGTAAGCTAAAGCTAAAGCTACTTTTTACGGGTTTTTTTTACTTTATGTAAAATCATACTTTATGTAAATTTTTTACTTTCTGTAAAATGTTTTTGTTTGTTTTAATTAAGAGAGATTAAGACAGTCTCTGTAGTATTTTGGGTGGGCTGCTCTGTGTCCTGGGGCTGTGCACTGGCAGCCAGGGCTGCTGGGCTTCCAGGCAAGTTTCAGGATTCATTGCTGCTCTCCATACATCTGTTTTAACCTCAAAGATTGATTATTTTTAAAGGTTAGCAGTTATGTAGCAGAAGAAACCTCACCTTTGCCAGCTTTGAGAAGTCACTGTGGTCTGTAACTGCACAGTTTTAATTTAGACAACAACAACAACCATTGCAGTTTAACCCTCCTTAGTACTACTCATTTCAGGTTTTTTTAAGAGGAAAAAAAAGAATCACCACCTACCAGTCACACCCTCACTTCACCAGTCTCCACATGGAGCCAGCTCTCACCTGGACTGTGCAGAAATGAGATAGAAGGGAGAGCAGCAGCCAAATCATGTCAGTAAAAGCAATTCTGGGTTAAACAAAGAGACCTTGAGGAGCAGGGGCAGCCCTCCCTTGCCTTCCAGCTTTTGCCTGCTGTACCTCCTACCAACATTAGGCTGAATGAGCAAAACTCTGCTTTTTTCAGAGTACAGCTCACACCTCAGTCAGATTTACCACCACCTGCCTTGTCCTGGTGCATTCTCTTGTGAGGTGTGAGCATTCCCAGTCCATAGAAAGCACAGGATGATGGATGCTCTTTCCAATAACTCATGGCCAGGTCAGCTGTGGTGCCTCCACAGCCTGTGGGTGTGAGCAGAGGGTGACAGAGACCTGTGGACCCAGGGCATGTGCTGACAGTGTGTACACTGCACCAGTCCCTGCCTTTTAAATCTTTTTCTCTCTTTCTTTGGCATTATTACAAGATGGATTTATAACATACTTAGCACTAATGTAACAATGAAGATTAGTCTTCTCTGAGTCGAGCAGTAATACACTTTAATTTGCCTACAGCTACTGCATTGTATTGGCATGAAAGGAAATGGTTTTCTAATGCAGCTTCATCTGCTGAGCAGGGGGAAATCTGTGCTGCAGAGTGTAAAGCTATATGGGACTCTAGCTGGCAGCAAAATTCAGAGTAGGAGAAACATAGCATAAATAAAAGTATTTGTGAGTTGGAGGTATGCTAACAATCCTAGTTTATTGCTAAACATTCCCTATCCAGAAATGCACTTTGCTTGGAGGTTCATCATGGATTCATCTTTGTTTTTTTCACCACTTCATCTTCTATACTATGTTTTTTCCTGGAATAAGAGGTGTAAATTCATTAGTTTTCAATTTTTTTTTTTTTTGGTGACATTAACAGGAAGTTGGCATTATGAAGTTTCTTGGTAGCACTGGTGCTGTTAATGCAGTCTGTGCTGTGCTCTAAACCTAGGGAACCACTGGAATCTCAACACTTGATCTGTTAAGTAAATGTTTCTGCTGTCTGGTGTAAATGCTGCCTTCACTTGACAAGTGTCAGGCGTTCTTTGAAGGGACATGTGCACAAACAGTCACTCAAGTGCCAGTATTTACCCTAATGTGGAGCTTCCCTCTTCAGGAAAGCAGCAAAGCTGTCAGCTGCTCCCTTCTTCTTGAGTGGCAAAGGAAGAAATTATCATGTCTGGGACAATCTCATGTAACAGTTCCTGCATATGGGATAGAGCAAATTTTTGTGGGCATAGTGTGCCAGTTGGACACAAAAATTATATGTTTCTTATACTTTTTTTTCCCCCAAGAAATCAATGAAATATAATTATGCTTAAAATAGCAGGTTTGGTTTCTAGACCAGGGATGTGTCTTGTTTTCAGCAATGGCAGGGAAGGATTGATAACTTGCATGCAGAGAAGGAATGAAAAAAATATTAATATAAACTGCTGGTGGAAAACAATTGCAACGGGGCCTTGTTATCACAATAGGTCTTTGATAGGAAAGGTGGGCAGAGGAAAAGACAGAGAAATTCACAGGAAATAGTGACAAGTTGTCCAGCTCACTCCATTGGTGAGGTGGGTGCTTCAAAGGACCTGAGTGTTTCCCTGTTTATTTATCTGCCAGCTTTGCATCAATTACCAACAGTGTCTGACCATCAGCCCACAAAGCTGAGCCTGTCCCTGCCTGTCTCACCCTGGCACCTGGTGCTGTCCTTGTAAATGCAGCCACTGTCACCACTCCAAACCAGCAACCTTCACCCTTCCTCTCTTCATCACCAGGTCCATCCATCCTGAAGGCACATGGAATAGTTTGATTGACCTAAATTTGACATTAAAACTGGAAAAATAATAAACTGACTTTTTTTTTCTTGTCTCCCTCAAAAAGCTGCAGCACCACGACAAAGATGATTCCCCTGACAAGTGGAGGACAGAAGAAGAAATGGCAGCTGAAGCAGAAATTCTGAAGAAGTATTTTCAGGAAAATTAAAGGTAATGATCTGAACATTGACTTAGTCCTGCAGTACCCAAGCCTTTGCTGAAGCCTCCAGAGGCTTGTTGAAGACAACAGGGCAAATATCTAGAATGAAACAAAAGAAAACAAAGCTCTTAGTTTTGTGTAGTTTCCAAAAGGTCACAGCACTCCAACAGTGGCTGAAATTAAATGCTCCTTCTTGAACAAATCAGCACCATCCTACAGCATTTTGTTTCCAGACAGCAAAAATAATGGTGCATCTAGAAATGAGAATCATCAGCATTTACTTAAGAGGAGTCTTTAACCTAACATATCCTCCCTCTGTTTTAAGGACAGAAAACAGCCCTGATACCTCTACACAGAGCTAAAACTGATATGTCTGTGTACAACCACAGATGCATATGCACCTATACTTACAAAACTGCATCAGAATTCAGTATAGAGGGCATAAATTCTAACCTCACCTGTCAAGTATTAAATGATTTGATCAGTTCAACTTCCAAAACCAAGCCTGCTGGAGATTTGATCAGTTCAACTTCCAAAACCAAGCCTGCTGGAAAACTGCCTGTTCTGCTAAATTTTCCACTGACCTTAAAAGAAAAAGAAAGATTTGCAGGGAGGAATAGAAAAGAGAAAACACTTGGCAAACACTAACATTGGTGCTCTAGAAATTGAGAGTTTTTCATTTTGTACCTTGAGTCCCAGGAGCCAGATTCTTCCAGCAGAAATTAACTGGCCCCTGGAGATCAATGTGAGTTGGGCTGGGATGTAATACTGCAGCAAGGATGCCAAATCTCCCTCTCCCCTGCTCCCCATATGCTGTTTGCCATCATCCAGCACTCTCACTTCTCTGTCATTTCTGGCTGTTTCATGTTTTTCCTCTGTAGAACCAAAATCCCAGAAATAACCCTCCTCTCTCTCTGTGACTCACTGCTTGCAGCCTGGCTTGAGAAATCTTGAGCTAAACCCCACATTGTATGGGTGGCACACTGAGGTGGCAGCTCTCATCTCCTGTGCCATTCAAATGGCAAACTCAAATGCTCTTTGGATGGCATTTTGGATGACTCCATTTGGAGTTCCTCAGATTTCCCCTTCCATTTTTTTTTCCTTGCATCGTGACCATGCTCTGGTCTCCTCCAGCCAAAGTAGCTGTGCCAGCCCTTCTGTGGGTGCACAGAAAAAGCCATGGAACACATTTATTCCCATCTGGGGAGGAAATTCCTCCCCAGCAGCTGGGACCTCCAGGGTTTGGAGCAGCAGGGTTTGGGCTACACAGTCACAGTTCTGCAGGGGCTGCTGGAGTTGCACTTAGACACCCACTTTTCACCTTCTCAGAAATATGCTGCTGAAATGTGAATTACTCAGGCAGGAACAGCATATCCTTGGTAATGCATGTGTAAGCACTCTTCTCTAACAGAGGCATTATGTGGTGCTTCATCTATGGCCCAGCAACCAATGAATAGTACTTAGGGGAAAATGGCACATCCCTATTCCAGTGTGATGTTGTTTCCCTTTATTGATTTGGTAGGTTTTGGGGGGATTTTTATTTTTTTTTTTGGTCAGAAATAAATTGGAAATGCATTTTTTTCCTTGAGATTCTCAAAGGGGTTGAAATTAAATCCCCACATATCAATAAAATGTTCTTTATCTCTTCTGATACTAAACATAAGCTGGATAGATGATATAAATCCTTTCCTGCAAGCAAATTGGTGTGGCTGGACATCTATTTCCATTTATTATGAAAATGAGTCAGTGTGTGTTTGCATGGATGACCTCTTGATACGTTTCCCGTGATATTAAGGTCATTACCTTTCCTAGAACAAACTGGTAAATTAAATCTTCCTGGCATCATTATCATGAGAGTGCCTAGTCCTTCCAACCCTTGATTCCCAACATCAGGCCTCACTGTCAATCTCTTCCCCCCAACATTATTTGGCTTCTGAAGCTTAAGGCTCTGAACCTGAGATAAAGGTATATCTATGCATTCTGCATTTCTCAGCCTTTGTCTTCTCTCTTAACCTTGCTTCTAAAGCAATGAAGATTGAAAACTTTTGTCAAATTAACAAGGTTATATGCATCCTTCTTTGAAGCTATTTTTGCATTTCACCTACAAAGGATTTATTTTGCCATTTGTGGGTTTATCTGGATGACACTTGACTTGAGGTTTTTTCATGCAGCATAGGGAAAGTCAGAAGGAGCTAATGTGGGTGTTCTACAGCCAATAAAGAGCAATTTTTAAGGCCTCATGCATTATTTTTGTACTTTATTGTTTTGTTTAAAGAAGCCCAGCTTAGCCAGCTTAGCCCGGGCAGGCTGAGCTGTGTTTTAGGGCTTTTCCAGCTACCCTCACATTTACGACAAGTCCTTCTCCACCTGCCACAACTCCTGTATGACTGGATAAGGTCCAGTAGCACCTTTTACATGTATTTAGAGACTATCTAATCAAGAAGGACTTGCAAGTAACTTTATCCTAATAAATACTTGAGTAAGGCAAGCAGCGCTTAGTTCTCTCCCTACTTCATTTGCTGGTGCTGTTCCCTCTTGGCTGACTAACTACAGTTAAGTGCTTCTACATCAGTCCCCAGATGACCCAAAAATATCCACCCACTTGCTTAAGGAAATGAACACATTTAGCCTTGCTAAGTTTCCACCCTTGAGAAAAGGCTTATCTTTAAATATTTTATCTGTGTGTGCAATATCAGCGACTGAATTTGTGCTTTGCATGTGTTTCTGCTCTTCCCCTGGGTGTCCCCATGCCACTGTGTCCCAACTCATTAGAAGGACTTGTTCTTTCTGCTCACAGAACTGTGTCTGCAGAGCTGGAGCTCAGGAGAACTTCATGTGGCTCTGGAAGAGAGAAAGAAAAGGAAAGAAAAACTTTCTAGGGAGGAAGATATTTAATATAGAATTTCTCTTATTAGTAGCACCAAGATTTTACCTCTTCAGAGCCTCTTTGGGAGCTGTTCCTCATTCTGTTCTCTGGTCAGCTGTGTTTGATAACTTGGTTGCTTTCTGAGGTGGATGCACAGGGAAAAGGTCCCTACTCAAAGAGCAGGATTTGATGCAGCACCCTAATTTCCAAGCCTATTTTCAGATGTGCCTTTTGAATTTTCTAGCTATGTATAGCTGGGTGTTTTGATAGTCTGTTTTGAGCATTTTAAATTGCACATGCCAGCAAAAAGGCTAAAGATTAAAAGACTTTAACCTTCAGATAGTATGTGAAAAATGTTTCTCTTCAAAGGCAGCTTCACTCTGTGTTGTTATTTCTGAAGAAAGATCCAGGCTGCACAAGTTTCAGTAGTTTTCCTATTTTGTGCATAACTGAAGTAATACTTTTGTGTCATTAGAAAAGTAGTCAGTCTTAAGTACAATGTCAAAATGTCCCTTTGGATAAAGAAGTTGACAGTGATATTCTGTTGCCAAGTGCTTGGAGTTACAAATATTCAATAGCTTTTAATTGCTTAACCACCTGAATATTTTGTGTCCTGAAACATGCCAAATTCTTGTAGAAATCCCTTCAAATAATGTGTCCTGCACAGTCTTGCAGGATTTCTGATGTCAATTCTCCCCCTTGTCCCCAGTCTGGCAATGTTTCTGGAGAATATAGTCTTTCCAGCTTTTCTAAAAAGTATAAATTTTATTCCTTTTTCCCCCCACTCATTCTTTGAGAGCACTCATCCTTCCTCACAGCTGCCTGTTCTGCACCAAGATTCTGCATGTGTGAAAAAATGCTGTTCTATTGCCTTCAGCAGGGAAATTACCCCTGATAGCAGCAGCTGGCCAGGGGGGAATTTAAACTGGCAATTTGACTTGCATCTGATTCTGCTCCAGCACCTCTGGAGTGTGACAATCCCTGCTGCATGCATGAGAGTGAACACCAGAGCAATGCCATCACTTCCCTCAAATTTAGGCAAGTAGACAAAATGCCTTGCAACATCCATCTTTGCGTGTTTTACTGTAAGAAAACCCTCCTATCATTTCTGGTACTTTAAAATGCACAAACCCACAAAGAAATGGCTGTGTCTGTGATCCACAGGGTGAATGTGGGATGCAGTGAGGACAGTCAGCCCCAGGAGATGCTGTGCCTGCGCTTGCAGAGCAGGCTGTGCCCTGGGTGGGCACCACAGGCACGGTCAGGGGTATTTTCTGCACTTGGTGCTGCCTGTTGGCAAAGCAGGGAGCTCTGAGGAGCACAGCAGGCTGAGCCATGGGAAATGGGAGCAGGGACAAGGCTGCAGCAAGCACAAACCCTCGGTGTTTTCAGAGCCTCACTTGTTAAAGCTGAGCAACCTTTTGAGTGCTTACACTGGAGTCAGAGCCAGTGGTGCCAGGGCTGGGCAATTCCCAGAGGACATGGTCTAGGAGCTGTTTGTGTGCAATCCTGAGGTAAATACACATCCCAGTAATCTGCTATAGATTTCCCTGCACTCCAGACTTAAGTGCTATTAATTATATCCCCCACTCAGAAGCCTCCAAGAAGCATTAATTAGAAAGCAGGAGCTGGCAGTTTGCTTGCCTGTGTGAAACTATTATGACCTGAGAATGAAGTATAAGTTTCAAAAGAAACACATTTTATGAAGGTCACCTTGAAAAATATCATAAAAATCTGTCAGAAGAGAATGCAGCACTCCAAGTGTGCATTTCAGTGTGACATTATACTTTAAGTAGTTGGAAATAGCAAAGAGAAGATGGATCAGATCATGGGGTCCGTGCTTTTCCACCCAAAATTCTCTTTTTTCTGCAGTAAGTACATATAAAGTAATGTTTTTGTCATTTCAATGGGATGCAAGGAAAATTAATTATCAACACAAATCCAACAAACATAATCTGCCCTTGCTGGTATTTTTTAAGTGTAAAATATCCAGACTCTCCAACTCTGCAGCAGGGAGAATGTTTATACAGGAATTACATTACCTCTTCAAGGTGTAAACAGCCAGAAGTGGTGCAGTGACTGCTCAGCAGTGACACCCAGACTGGAAAGCTCAGGGCAAAAGGCTTCCCCAAATAAATGTGCTGTGCTAATGCACAGCAGCCTCGGTGTTGAGGTTGATTATTTTTCTGGTTGAAGCATGTGATTATTTCTTATGAAAACAGAGCTACAGGAGAGCTAGCTAGAGTTATAAATGAAATGTCATCCTCTTGTGGGAGGCAATGATGCCCGCCTCACACCCAGGCCAGGGCTCTGTTTTGAGGCTGGAAGTAGTACTGTCCTGAAAGTTATACACCTCATTCTCTGGACTTTCTACATTATTATACAAAGTTATTTCATTTCCCTATAGATGGCCATTTAATTCAGCTGTCCAGTACATGAATTCCATAGAGCACTGCTTGGATCCTGTAATTATGGCTACAGTAGAAACATCAGGGCCAGGGACACAGACACGATTGTAGAGCAGAAATGCAAAGCAGCAAATGTGTTACTGTTGGTGAAGGAAGCTGACAGCCAAATGTTCTCTTAACCTGCACATCCACATCCTGAATGCCCACCTGGCAGCCTGTCAAAATCAAAATTGTCAGTGGGATCAGTTCTTGATTCATCGTTGGCTTGGTGTGTCACATTGCATGAGAGGAAAATGGGGAAGCTGAGCATGGGTGGTGGACATTTGTCTGAGGACTGGGGTGAAAGTGCTGAGGTGCAGGACAATGCTGAGCTTCAAATAGGATGATATTAACTGAGACTGGGTATTTTTACACCCAAACCTGTGCTGAAATGGTGCTAATCTCTTGCCCCCAAAGCTGCCAGAGGATGCTCCTCGCGAGCAGCTAGACCCTCCTCGAAGCAGATTCACAAAATCCGTGCCAAGCGATTCACAGGCTGCCATCGAACTGTCACTCACCAGGGGCTCACAATGGAAACTGTTGCTCGAAATGCCGTGGGAATGGGAAACATATGTTTCAGAGAGAGAGACAATCAAACAGAGAAGTGGGTGGCTGGGGAATTGCAGCCACAACAGCGGCGAGAGCCGAGCCCTGCACGCAGCCCCGGGAGCGAGTTCGGGGCCGTGCCCTCATCCAACACTTGGGTAACAGCTCTGTGTTTAATAAGCTGAGATAATTTCCCCAGTATTGAAGCCAGCTCTAAACATGCTCTGAAGTGAAGGTACAAAACTGAAGATACCAAGCCAAAAGCCTATTTCATGCTCAATTATTAGCAAAGGTTTGTATGGTGGTATCCTGTTGCTGTAGCTGCTGCATAATAGAACTGCCCAGAGAGACATTGGAACCAGCAGCTCAACATGACCTCAGAGCCTCAGCACTGCCTTTGTGTGAGTGTCGGTATCCAGGCTGTGTAGGTGGAAAGGCATTAATAACTCCTGCAGTAAGTAGTTATTTGAGAAGGGAAGGGGGTGATGGATGTTGGAAATATGTTGGACTGAGCGTACTTGAAGCTCTGTTTTGTGCCAGGATGTCAGTCTCTACACAAAAGCAGAGGAATGTCAGGGATAAACTCAAATGCCCCACTTGTGTTAGAACCTGGGGCTGCTGCAAGCGCCCAGCTACCACTGCAGTAGCACCTGTGCCGTGGGTTTGTGCAGGGATTTCACACACAGCTTCCACGGCTTCAGGCTCTCAGCATTTCTGTTTCTCTGCTTCAAGAACACCTTCACATCTGTCATGGCACCTATTACAGGGCTTTTACTAGGATGCACCACCAAGAGATGCATAAAATTGGAGCAGACATGGCAAGAAATGCCCCATCCATTCTCCAATGTGGGGGCATTTTCTGGGTGATGGTCCCAAATCACTGATGTGTAATTCCTTGACATTAGGCAGAGTCCCACCACATGGTCAGGATGGAGGAGGATAAACAAGAGATGATAGTCTTGAAAGATTGTTTGTGGGAATTTATATAAGAGATCATGAGCCCCAAAGAGTCTGGCATGAGGCTATTACAGCAAAATAGATTTGAAGAGTAAGAAGCTGGATTTGATGACACAAGATGCCCTTTCTAATCCTTTGTTCCTATGAGGAGCGGTCAGCAGAGCTGGGGACTGTGCTGTCTCACTCAGGGACATCAGAGAGGTGGCCTCACTTCATGTTTGTTTTTTGTAAAATGATCCTGACCTCTGTCCAAGGGTGCTTTGTGAGTTGGGAATGAAAGCCTGATGTGAAAAGCAGGCATTACTATTATTTGCAAGTGCAGTTTATTGAAAAAGCAGATAAGAAATAGGACAAATCTCTTTCTTGCTCTGGTAAATAATTTTAAAATAGTTCTGTGCAAGGCTTTTCTCCTTCCTCTGTTGCAGGGGCTGTAATAGAAGCTGCAATGAGCTGTGTGGGGGTTTACCACTGAACATTTCCCTTTGCCTATTGCTGTCAGTGACTCCTGTCAGAACACACTAATGAGCACCTAAGTCGTTAGTAATAAACAGCCTCACATTTTGTCTTACTAACAAAGATCAAAGCTGCTATTATATGTAATGATCTGTTATGTTTGATACTTCTCAGGTAACAAAGTGCTTGAAACACATCCCACAACACCAGAAAGTCCCCAGAAAGAACAACCTCATTCTCCAGTTCTCAGTGGCCCTGAAGCTGCAGCTTGACAATTTTATTATGTTCTACAAATATGGGATTCTTCCATGAAAAATTTTATTGGACCTTTGGATATCATCAAGGTTGAATTCCAGCTAAGACAACTAAACAGCACTGGTTCAAAATACTGCTCTGAATTGTAACTCATATTTTTCTGAATTGTGTACTTGGGAATGAATCTTTTTAAATTGTCCCTTGGCCTAAATAGAAATAAAGTGCCAGGAAAATCAGGTAGCTACTGTGTTTAGATACATTATAAAGTGTTTACTCTGTGTTGTGCTCTTTGATTCAGTTACTGTATGTAGGCTATTCTATCATAGAAAAATTAGATCTTTTAGCAGTGTGGCAATTCATACAAACCCAGACTTTGTTACAGACTAGCCAAGATAAACTTGGAAAGCAGGTGAGTTCTATACCAAGAAATATTAAGCTTCCTGAGATCTTTTTTTCTCTGTTCTTTTAATGAATTATGAAAAGGCCTCTGGAGTTTTAAGGGATACAAAACGCTTCTGTAAAACAATTAATATGGGAAGTTGCTCATGGGATAGTAATCACATTAGGATTAGGCTGGCAGGAACGGCTGCACCCAGTCACAACCAACACATGGAGCAATCCCTGGGCAAGAAATGCTGTGCTCAGAACCCTGCACAGGAAGAAACCCTCTGTGGGTTAGTTGTTGATTGCAGGAAAAGAAGTCAAACAACTGATGGAAGAGAGAAGAAATGAGTCTGTAAGATGTGCATGAAAAGAGAACCCATAATCTTCCTCTGGAACAGCAGGGAAGCAAACAGCCAAAGCTTTCTGTGTCCCACAAATGATGAAAACAAAATGCCCCCAAGTCTTTCAATAAGAGTCATGCTGAGGGAGGCCAAGGGTGCAGAGCCTGCCTGAGGGCTTGAGGAGGTCGAGCAGGTCCCAACCAGAGCCTGGTGGAGCTTTGCCTGCCTGGCAGCACAGTGTGATCATGTTCAGAACAAATTCAGCTGCTCCACGATGGTCTGTCCTGGAGGGTTACAGCCTGACCTGAGCACTATGACAATGCACAATGGATGAATTCTCATCATTTTCACCAAGTCTCTCTCTGCTCTCTACTGCAGAGCCATGCAGTCCATTGGCTTGAAGTCTTTATGCTTGTCAAATTTAAATAGAAATACTACAGCAAAATCACTGATGTTTGATTCCGCTTTTTACTGTCATGCTATTTAAATATTGCCCCTGAAAACCACTTTGATTCAAAGACTTACCATGACCCAGTGTGGCACCAGTATCTTCCATTAGCCCTTTTAAAAACTGTACAGATTGTAACACTATTTCTTTTTCTGTGCAGAAAAAATGAAAAGTCCATTTTGATGGAGTCTGCACTTTTTAGACCCTGAGCAAGGGCTGAATAAACAGGAAATGAAGGTCAGGGAGCAAGAAGCAACAGAGAAGGTAAGGTGAGCAGACAGAATGGTCAAAGATGCTGGCAAATGGGCCAACATAAATGGTTGTCCTTTTGCACTTCAGCATTTCAAGTTGCTGTGATTTCACACAGAAGGAAGACAATGGTTGTGCTGCTGGGGAACACTAAAGAAAAACCTCAGCATCACTTACATTTTCAAACCTGCTGTTCAATGGTTTCCTATTTATTATGGAATATTCTGTATTAATTCTGTAGCCTGTGATGAGCAGGCTCTGTGCCAGCCGTCCTGCATGGGGGCTGCAGAGCAGATGAGTGCTGAGCTCCATGGAAGATTTCATTTGTGTAAATGAGGAGCCCGTTATCACAACACTAAAGGTCCTGGTTTTAAAAAAGGCCTCCTGTGACATTATGCACAAAACAACCTCTTTATGCAGCATGAAAATATTTATGCGCTTCGCTCCAGCTTAAAAAGGGAATTTGCAATAGATGAGGGACATGAGAAAGGATTGGAGGGAGAGATAAGGAGAGATTAGAAAAGGCAGATCATGAAGTACATGACATCGTGCAGCAGTATGTGGAGTAAACCCTCGTAGTTTTTTTAAGATATGGACCTTGAAGATGCTGTCTGGATCATTTATATATTCTTACAGAGTTAATTTTCCACGGGCAAGGAGCTGTATGCAGAGGTGCCATTGCTGGAAATGTGAGGAGATGCTGTGCTGAAGACACTGATGAACTTTGTAACCATCTTTGTCCTTTTCAGCCTTCATCTCTCACCCTCATGGGGGTCATGCGTGGGCTGGGGAATGCTGCAGTGCTGAGCTCCCTCACCCAAAGCAGGAAACACACAAAAAATCACCAGTACAGGGGCTCAGATGGACGTGGCACAAGAGGAGTGGTCCCACTGGGGTGACTTCATAAGCTCAGACCCTCATTCCCTGTCCTTACACAGAAGGAAATTTCCCAATTTTTTTTCAATTCCTAAGAGTTTTTCCTGAAGCAGCAGTTCCTCTGAAGGGCTGCAAGGGCTATGTGCCTCTTTTTCCATGAGTAAACCAGATATGCTTCAGCCACAGCTCTCCTCACTGACTTGTAGGAGCAGCTTGGGAGCTCCACACGTCCCCTGAGTGCCCTGGAACTCTCAGAAGAAGTGACTGAGGACACACACAGGAGGGCAGATGGGTTATTGGGAGCTTGATCTGATGGGGACACATCAACCCATGCATCCACTGCCATGCCAGGCAGCTCGGGTGCCTTCAGCAAAGGCTGTGAGTGCAGCATGGGGATGTTTGTTATTTGTCTTTCTGCAGTTCAGCATTGTTCTTGCTCCAGATGCAGATGTACCAGCTCCAGGTTCTCCATGGGACAGCTGATGCCACCCCAGGCAGCTCAAAATGGGTGTGAGCTGAGAGATGAATGGGCTGGGGATGGGCTGTGTCAGCTCCTTGAGGACTTTGTGTGTTAATTCAGAAACCTCTGCTGCTTCCAACCTCCCCCAGCACACACTCACCCACTCCCCAGGTATCAGGCTCTCTTTTGATGCTGTGCTTGAATAAGCCAGTGTTTTGTTTTTAGGTGATGCTGGAGAGGAGGGAAATGTTCTGCTGGCTCTGTGGGAGCCTGACTGGGCTGCAGGCTCAGGCTGATGCCAAGACAGCAGGTCCTGGCTGCAGTGGGGGAATCAAGGTCAGCTCCTGGCATGTGACAGTACCCTGAAATGTGGCCAGGGACTGAGCACTGCTGAAATAAAAATACCTGAATCCACGTGGAATCCAGGGTGATCTCATACCCAGCCATAAAGCAATAAAAATCTAAATGCCCAGTACCCACAGAGCTAATGAAAAACTCTCAAGCCCAAATACCCACACAGTGACAGCCATGAAAGTTCCAAAATAATTCCTATGCCAGCTTTCTGTGTCCTCCCATCCACTCCCCAGCTCTCACTGTCACTGTGGTCGATGGCTGCTGAAAAGCCTTGTCCAATTCCTGCATCCTGACGTGCAGGCCAGCAGCTCTGTGAAGGAGAAAATGCTGCTGCTCATGTAAGCTGTCCTGTGTGTTGGCAGGGCTGTGAGTTTCAGAGCAGAGTGATATATTTCAGCTCTTGTGAAATTTCTGAATAATCAGCTCATCAAAAAATATCATGCAGAGTTCCCTTGTAGTCCTTTCCAACTTGCCACCTCTCCTGCCAATAGCTCTGTAGGGTGACCACAGCTTGGCAGAGCCCATTAGCACAGCTCTGCACAATCACTCATGAGTAGAGCTGGCTGGAAAATACACTGCTTCCTCCTGAAAAAAAAAAAAAAGAAAGAAAAAAGATGAGGTGGGGCAGAGGGTGTGTTTCAGGATGAAGATTTTTCCCACTTCTCTCTCCAGAACCCTCTTCTGCTCCCCCATTGCTCCTCACCTTTTTTCCTCCTTTGACTTCAAGAAAATAAAAATTTTGCCTAAAGTAGCAAAGACATTGGATGCTGTTTGATCTGCTGGTGATTCCTCCTGGCCCCCAGGCTTGGACTGGCACCAACACACTGGCACCTTCTCCACCAGAGACTCCTGAGCAAGTTGTCCTTGGACCTGCACATTTTGCTGCGACTGCCCAGTTTCTTCTTTGGAGTTTCTTGAGAAGACATTCTCGAGATAGATTTCTCTCCCTGAGCAGCACAGCAGCCTGCTGCTTGGGCATCTGGGATTTGGTGACCTTGTCTCTGTGCATGGTGAGATGGGGGATGCTGGAAGGGCCTCAGTGCTGCAGAGACAGGGGGCTGAGCAGCCAGAGTCCCTTCAGCTGCTCCTCACAGTGCTGGGCTGTCTCCAGCCATGGCGCCTGTGCTTCCCACTCATTGCAGACACCTGTTCCCAATCCCAGGTGAACATGGCTTTGGCTGGGGAGAGCAGAGTCCCTCTGTGTCCCCTAAGGATGCTCAGCTGCTGCACTGTGGGGAGGGGGCTGCAGAACCCCCTAGGGCAGGTGGCAAACGGGTCCTGCAGAGGAAGGTGGTGCAAAAATCAATGGTTAGTGCATTGGGATTAAAGCTGTGGTAGGAAAGCCTTGTATGACTCAGGTTATTATAATTTTTTGATATTTTTATTGTATTATATTTTTTAGGTCTGTGGTAGCTGCATTGGCTGACACTTGGTGCAACATGGGTTTAGTACTTGTGTCACATTGCAGACCCTGTGTGAGACACAACTGCATCCATCAGCAGCAATGGCTCCAGCACAGGCTTCCTGTTCTGCCCTCCTGGCTCTGTCCCGACCCACCTGCAGCTGCCAAGCATTTGCTCTGTCCCTCTCCACTTGTGTCACCATACCTTTCTGCTCAGGCTTTTGTCATGTCTTTTGTCACCATAGTGACAGGAAAAGAGTGATGATTACTGGAGTAATTTCCCATATTAGCTAGCACTGGCTTTTCAGCCTAAATCAGCACTTTATTTTCCCTGTGCTCTGGCTGAGCATCACTGGGGAGCAGTGGCACCATTAAGGAGCAGTGGCAGAGGAGCCTTGGTGTGTTGTGGTGCTGCCAGTACTCCTTGGGGACAGCCAGGTCAGGGGCAGGGCCTTCAGGTCACCTCATGTCCCACCAGGAATGCAGAGAGAGAAGGGGAAGACAAAAAAAAATGTATTTGCAAAGATTTCTCCCTGAGTGCATTTGCTCAGTCTCAAGGTCAATAAAAGCAGGAATAAAAGCAGGAATTTGGGCACTTGCACCTGTCCTGGGGTACCTGCCTGTCTGCAGGACAATAGGAAGAGGTCCCCAGAGGGAACTGCTCTCCCTCACTGATGTAGTGAGTGGGAAAAGACCAAAACCCCCCCGTGCCCCCAGGCTGTGCCC